TTGAAAAAGTATCAAAGCTAAGTTAGTGGGGAAAAAATAAGAATAAATAAGATTAAAGAAAAACAATAAGAATAATATTACTACTAAAAATTACTATACATACTAAAAAAATATCAAATTAATATTAAAGCACTTATGTGCGTGCTACCCCTTCTAGCTAATATAACATGCAAGGCTAAGCGTGAGGCGAGATGATGGCTTACTAAAAAAGAAGGTTATATATTTTGAGATTTGATTTTATACCCGTCTATAAAACAAAGCCCAAATGTGTCCGAGACACGCCAAGAGCATCAGATGAGTGTAGGTGTCAAACAAGTGTATCACAATCACGATCATGATACTTGAGGATAGTTGTGACTTAATTGCATAAGTGTACATATTATAGGGAAATGAAGTTTCACATACAGGATTATGAAACAATTCTGTAGTATAATATAATCACTGCATATATCTCATGACATTTTTATTTTGATGAAAATTATTATAGATATCTCAAATAGTGAAAGGGTAGTTTATCACAATTTAATCACTAACCGTTTGGGCAAATTAATGAGACCCTCCCCTTTTTATAACCTTATATATAATGAATAATCTAAAAGGTTAAGAAAGGATGGAGAATATTTTAGATATTTTCCCCACCTCCTTAATTTAGGAGTGGTTGCCTGAGGTGGACTCGTTCCGTTTAGGCCCGTTTGGACTCAGGTCTGAGTCTAGCCCGAGCTCTTGAGCTATCATTTTGAAACCTAGCCCGACTTGTAGCCCAGTCCATCGGCCCGTTTATGGCCCATTCAAGGCCCGGCTCGACTAAGGCCCAGTGTTTTTTTTTAGTGGAAAAAAATAAAATTTTAGTAGAAAAAAAATTAAAAAAACAAAAAAAAAAATGGTTAAACCCGCCCAAGCCCGAGGCCAAGCCCAGCTCACCAGCCCGCCCAAGGCCTGAATACCCTTAGGCCTGGGCCTATGTTTTGGCTCGTGGCCCGACCCGATCCAAATTTTGGCGGGAGCCCATGAGGCCTAACAAGGGCCCGGGCTAGGCCAGATTTACACCCTTAAATTAGACTATTCTAGAATATATAAGAACCACTAAGACCTTCAAGTATTTTTTATAGTCTTTCAGCAAAGGGACGATACCCAAATTTGCAAGACATGATATAGTTGAATGTTTAATTTGATAAAATTTTTATAATATTTATATAATTTATAATTTATTTATTTATTTATTTTTCAATTTGTTTTTGTCTCAAATATCATAATAGGTCATAATTACGACATATGGTATACCTCTAAAACTTTCAAGTATTTTTTAGAGTCTTCCAGGGAGGGGACAACACCCAAATTTGACATGATATAGTTGAATGTTTGATTTGATAAAATTTATATAATTTATGTTTTATTGATTTATTTATTTTTCAACTTGTTTTCCGCTCAAATATCATAATAGATCATAATTAGGGCATATTGTACACTTTTTTTTGAAATGTGTATTATAAAATTTCCATTAACAAAAATTAATACCTTCGTTCAGTACACGCATTATGTTAAAAATGAAAAGGGTAGTAATAACTCTCACTTATCCACAATATCTGTCTCATGTTCCATTTGTTCTTTCTTTGGCCAATTTGACACACCTATGTCACTCCTAGTTCATAGACCTCATTTCCCGAAGGATGTCCTCCACAAATATTTTCAATTTATTGACAATACCCAATATAAAAAGAGTATCACGTTCAAATAGTGAGTGAAGTAATGGTTGCCCTCAGAATTATATTAACATTAGCCAAATAAATAAGAAAACAAATTGAAATCTTTTTAATTATTTATTTAAATTATTTTACTATTGAAATAGATACACTAATATAATGTGTACTACTGACAATTGCAAGCACATAGATACGATACAAGATTTGTGCATCTGTACATCAATACTAATACCAATTGGAATGGATTTTTTGTGGACGTCCAATGTACAATGCCTATGTAAAATATAATTCGACCAACAGAAGGCCAAGTATGTGAGGTACAACTTATAAGCAGAAAAAAGAAACAAAAACATACTTTGAAGTTCAACGTTTGAACGCATGAAGAACCTTGTGTGCCTTTTCGTGTTCGTCTTTTGTTGTGGTTTCTTTTCTTTTCGATTTTTTCAATTTCTTTGTCTTTTGTCCTGTTTCTGAAATTAAGTTCAAGCATCAGACAAGTTGTAGTCGTTTTTTTTTTTATTTCGACACAACGTTGCTGCTTGTTAATTCACAATGGTTATTAGGGAAGTTGCAGTAATTCTACTAACACAGAACACAATAACCTAAAGGACATAGCAATATGAAGAGAGAGAGCGAGAGAACACCTCTTTGTGTAACTATCAACCCGCGAGAATGCCGATGAAGACATCGCAAACATCAGACATTTGTTTTTTAAATTTTGAGTATCGCACTGATCAGTTTTTGATGGTGTAGCCATCAATCCAAAAAGAAGAAACAAATTTTTTTTTTACGGTTTTACTAACAGTTCTTCGATGTATATACACAATACATGGTTGTTGCTTATCAAAAGTTGTGGCAATCTTTTTGATTTTGAAACAATCGTTGCTGGCCGTTCTTTTCGATTTCGAAACAATGTTTCTGCCCATTATGTTACAACGGTTGTGTTATGTGAAAGGGTTTGCGGTCAAGTTGAACAGGCACATACCACCAGCAGTGGTGGTACCGTGGATAACCCCAAAGAGCAAGGCTCGAATTCCGGGGCATAAATTTCTTATGATAAATATACTAAATTTCGATTGTAATTCTGTCTCTTGTTATGGGGTGGATGAGATTCATTGTTACCCGGTAATGGTATCTTCTTATGAGTTAAGTCTGCCCATCAACTCACTAGTTGGGGACCAGGCCTACAGACACTACGATTTTCTAGGGAGTATTTTTTTTCTAGCTCGAAAAAAAAAAAGCTCAAAAGAAAAAAAAGAAAAAAAAAGGGTTGAACAGGCATGTGGGTTTTCAGGAGATGGGCAAAACATGTCTTTCTATTGTCCAGTCAGAGGGCCGCCTTGGGGCAAAGCCCACAAAGCAGCCCTTTGGGCTCCTAAAAAATGTTTTTAAAAATGGTCCTAAAACTATAGTAAAATATTGTACCGACTCGGAAAAAAAGACCCATTTAAGTTAGAAAGATCTAAAATTTCTTATAAGAAGAGATCCAATTTGAATAAAAAGACCCAACATTTTGAGGCCCTCAATTTATATTTTAAATACATTTGAGATATAATTACAAACAAATAATAAAATCAAATAGTTTTTATCAATTGATTTTTGTCAGCAACAAGAATTAGAAGTATTCATTTAATTTTTTTTTTTTTAAACTAATTGAAGAACTATCATATTTCTTAGCTTTTTATGTATTGATTTTTTTTTTATTTGTTCATCTATGGTGGAAAGTCTCAAATTTGTAATATAAAGTTAGGTTTCAAGCTACAAACTCTACATTAGAGATGAATTCTTATTTTTGTTTGATTAAATATTTATTTGATCATTGATTATATATATATTTTGTCTATTACGATTATATATTTTTATTATTTTTTTATGTTTTCTTTACTTTATTTTTTGATTTGTAATGATTGAGGATTAAGTTAATAATTTTTGATACTATATCAAACATGTCATTATTCCTGGAAAGTGTGATTTTGGACATGAAAAAAATAAATAAAAAAAATAAATAAAGAATATAAGACTTAATTTATTTTTTATTTGGTACTCCAAATTATATTTTAGCCTTTTTTATTATTGTAAACTTTGTTATATAATTAAATAAATTTTAATAGCCATTTTGTGAGCATTATTAAATGCAAAAATTTGATACATAATCTTTTGATCAATTTTCTTTTTTTAATATATATGAAAGATTCATTTTGCATCCTGAAAAAGTCAAAGCTGACCCTGCTAGTGAACGATCTTTTCAAAAACTAAATGTAGAAAATAATTTGGGTTCAGTCTTTTTAAAGTAGTGTAGTAGATATAGTGGTTTGAATTTGCCCAAATTCTCAAACTGTTAAAAAAAAACTTTAATATAGCTTCAAAAGCCGAAGCCCGGGTTTGAGCATCCAAGGCCTATCCAAAGCCCATTCACATTCCTAATCATTAACATTCATTAATTAAGACATTTTTAACAACTTTATTAACAACATTAATTAAGAAAGAGTAATATTAGAGATCCTAAAAATTTTACCAAAATTTCTACCAAATATCTCACATGGGTGTGGGATCCGCACAATGTGAATCTCATACTTCTTGATAAAGTTTTTAGGATCTCTAACATTTTTGATTAAGAAAACTTCTTCTTTATTAACAACATTAATTAACTAACTTCTTCTTTTTTCTAGGGTGGGTGAGAGAAAATTATAAAATTATCCTAGTTCTATAAAATAAAATAAAAATCAACTCGCACTAAACTCACTTTTTTCATAATTATATACAACTCATAAATTTTAGTACACAAATCCTAAACGCTTTTTCTCAAAGAACTCCCTCTTGATCATTGATTTGACTGAGGTATTGATTTTGCGGTGTTTTGACAACTTGCTTAAAAAAAAAGAGTGCTGCTATTAGCACCTATTAAAATTCTTTGGACCCCCTATTTTATAATTTTTTTTATTACAATTATACCCTAAAGTAAAATTACATTAAACGACATTATTAAATGGAATACCCACCTATCAATAAGAACTAATACTCTATAATATTAGACACCCAGCCCCACCTCCACATCCACCTCCACCTCCACCTCCACCTCCACTTCCAACTCCAACTCCAACTATATGTATTCCATGTTTGTAAACTCTAAACCTATTTCTTTTCATAACTAACCAACATAAACCCTAAATCTATTATTTTTTATAATCATCTTAAATCCCTGAATGTGTCATCTTCATCACCATCATCAACGCTACTGAACTTGAAAGTTTTGTTTCAAGTATAACGTATACTTCATCACTTATTTCACTATGTAGAGCAATGGAGGACGAGGACAACAATTCTAGTGAGACCGGCGTTCCATTGGTAAGTTTATCTGTCTTGTATTAACATTCTTGATCGTTTTCGGTCGTTCTTGTTTCGTTCGAGTTGTTCGGTACTGGTTTGCTGACTGTTAGAATTATATTCGGTAATATAGTACTGAACATAATCCTTTCGTTCAATACATAGGTTCCGAACATTAATGCAGATAGTCAGTTATATAATTTTCTTTGTTAAACTAACTTAGAATGGAAAAGAGTGAATTGGAATGAATTTAAGTTATGTATTTTGAATGGATTTAATTTATGTTATTTTAAGTTGTGAATTGGAATGGATTCAAGTTACACAGTGATGAACAAATTTTTTTCGGACATATAGTGTTGACAGGATCATTATTGTTCGACAAAACAGTTCTGAACAAAATATATTTTTTCGGCTACACAGTGGTGAACAAATTGTTTTGGGCTACATTCAGAATTCTGATGGCGATTCAGACGATGATTCTGTTTTTCCTCATCTTACAAATGGTTATGCAAATCCCGTAGAAATTGGAGGATCTTCAATCGATCTCAGCGATGACGAAGATACAAAAAGCAACGAAGAAGATGATGATGAGAGGATGTTCGAGGTTACTGATTTGGCGATACGGAGAGCGTTCAGAGAAGATGAGAGTCGTCGGAATGCTCCATTGACGGCCGAGACGAAGGAGAGCGATGAAAAATTAAGTGGGTGTGCATTTCATTGTGAAAATATTATGAATATGGGTAGATTTGGTAATAAGTGAGATGTTCAAAAAAATATTATTAAAATTTAGGATTTAAGATTGGGGTCTAAAGAAATGGGGGGTCCAAAGAATTTTGATAGGTGCTAATAGCAGCACTAAAAAAAAAAGCAAGTCTTTTAGTTTTTTAACTTTTTTACATAAAAAAATCAATTTTTTTAGTTAAAAAAGTCATTAAATAGTTAAAAAAAATTAAAAAATCAATTTTTTACCAACTTTTTAAAGCACCACTGTGTAAGTTTCTAACACTTGCTAAAAGGCTGTAATAGGGGATTTGTATAGTCATCAATAGCCCCCACATGCAAATAATTTTAAATAGCCATTCCGTGTCATATAATGGATTGGGATTGGGATGAGAATAGGAATAGAGAATATGTATATGAATAATGCTATATGTATTAATTAATGTTTTAATTAGTGTACTAATTGATAATATAATATAATTTAAGAGATTTTTAGTATTTATAATTTGTATAATGAGTGGGGTTAATAATAATATCGTAACTAGTGTTGATATACTAGTTAGTATACTAAAGCTTCGTTTGGGAAGCCAATCTTGAGATTTTTTTTTGCTATTTTAGTCACAAAAAATAAAATAGGTTTTTTAACTCAATAAGACAAAACATCACATCCAACCCATAATCATTATATTCATTCTCTCACAAAAAAGCCAAAAGTCAATCCCAAATTAGGCTTTTTAACCTCAGACTAAAATAGCTAAAAAAACGAAAAAATCAAAAAACCAACCCACTTCTCAAACGAAACCTAATTGGTGCATGTAACACCGCCATTTATATATTCATCAGTAGCCCCACATGCATATAATTTTAAATAGCCATCCCATGTCATAAAATAGATTAGGATGGAAATGGGAATGGGCATGGGATTTGAATGGGGATTTAAATGATGGTTGAAGCTAACTCAGGACGACTCCCCGATAATTCAAGGTGATATCTAATTGATGTGATATCAAATTAGGACACCCCAAATAAATTCGGCCAATATAATTTATTTCCGGAGTGATTCTTTACAAAAATACTATTTATTATTACCTCATCATTTTATTTCATTTCTATGTATATTCATACAATTAAAATTATATATATATATATATATATAACTTGTCATATTTAAAAAACAGTAATAAAATTTATCATACCACATAAAAGTAAAGAATTGTAATAAAATATTTTGAAAGATAAATACATCAACCCTCTTTTCGATGGAATATTTTTATGTGAGACTACTATTATAGTTTTAATTAATATATCGATTATTATGAATATGTGCGAGCATCTGTGCAAGTGCTGTTTTATTTATTGAACTCATGTGCAAATGCCATAGGATAGAGCAAGAGTTGTCTCGTCTCCTGACCCTGGATTTGGATTTTATGGTGCGATTTTTATTTTGTATTCATATTTTGAGTCTATCTTAATAATTTAAATAATTTATTTTGTAAAATTTATATTGAAGATTATCTATGTAATAAAATTAAAATATGATCCAATCAATTTAACTTTTACATGAACTATTCAAATTATCTAAATAAACCCACAAACTTAAATTGAATTGTCCAATCTAGTTTTATGAGCAAGAGAGAATCCTGGGTTCATAAAGTATTATGTTAAAATGATTTGAATACTATATAGATCAACAATGTTATAGGGTCACACTAGCGAGCTTTGCTCGATTCACGTGGAGGGACGTCTTGTGTAGATTACGTACCTGATCATAAAACTAAAAAAAACAAATATTATTAAAAATAATTTATCAACTTGACAATTTATCATATTATTAAGATAAATCTTGTTTCAATTCTAAATTTTAATACTACTGTTGGCTACATATTTTGTATAAGCCAGTTACAGTTCGACGCGTGGCGAGATAAGGGCAATACGGGAAGACAATTCAAATCTTCAATCATAATCACACACATGGCAGTCAACATTAGTTTATTATAAATCTGCGTAGCATTGAATCAGCAAAGAGATGCAAGATGACGTGATCTTAACGGTTACTCATATATTTAAATTCAAAATCAGGAGGGAAGCCTAACTGCAGATATTGGCATAGTGGAGCTAACTATAAGGCAACATGATCAGCGATCATGGAGGGGTGGCTCGACGGTTAGAAATGCAGTTTGACGGTTGTCATTGAGAAGTATAAATAGCAAAGAAGGCCCCAAAAAAAGCCCCAGACTCATATCAAAAAAATTAGTTTTATCTACTTTATTTTTCCTTCCAGTTTTTACATTTCTTGTTCTTTACATTTCTGTACTTCAAATTCCTGCACTGCATTTCGTTCGTAAGAGTAGTTTTCAAGTAGCTTGTTGCTGTAAACCTCTACGAGGCTGATTTGGATCTTTGTAAGTCTTTCATTTTACTTAATGAAATGCTACAATTGTTCTTCACTTAATCATTGTTTGCTTAATTCTCCTAAACAAAGCCACCAGTAAAAGTCATTTTCATTGAGGCTGAAAGAATTAAAACACAATCGTCTGATAATTGATTGGCAATTAATATTCTGTAAGGACTGATTGATCCTTGCTGGCACGCTCACAATTACAAAAATAACCTTCGAAAGCCAAAAAAGCCAACATATATTTTTGGCACGCCCAATGGGACTAATTGAAATGGCTAGACGTAGGAGACGAGTAAAAAATGAACGCTTGGATGAAGGCGTGGAAGGAGAGGTAGAAATGCCTAATCCAGAGGATAATGTGATAACACATCCTATGGAAGCACCTATTTTATCAGAACCTATGATCGAACAAACCAGTACTTCGGAACAAGTACCACATGTTCAAAATATTGGACGAGGCCAATGAATTAGACCATCCACTGTTGTATCTACTCAGCCAATGAATCCATGGAGTGGCCTAGTAGATGCCATGGGATAGCAGTTCAATGAATCCATGGGGTGGCCTAGTAGATGCCATGGGATAGCAGTTAATAAACACAATGGAAATGTGGGCAACATCCTTTTTGGATCGAATGAATACTCATCAACCAACTAACGCAAGGCATATAGAAGAAAATTCAAATGTCCCTCAACAAAGATTGGTTAGAGATAAACAACCTATGCAGAGTAATGGACATACTAATGGTCAAACTAGTAACCAAAACCATGAAAGACCATCGCCTCAGTCTTGGTATGAGCCTCTTTCGAGGCCTAAGGAAAATCAAAAAGCCTCCTTACTTAACAGTGAAGCCATGCAAATTGGTGGATCTGGTCCAACATAAGAAAATAACGTAAAGATGTTCTCAAATCTCATGTTCGAGGCCATACCTGGTACGAGGGGGTTCACTAATCCTTTGTTCGAATTTATACCCGGGGGGCTGGAAGGGTTTCCTGCAACTGGAAGAGACACAACACCTGTTCCAGCATCTTTCGCAAGTCCTTTCGCAGGACAGGCTCAAAGGGGTCACCCATACCCTCAATAGCAGCCAGCACAACAGGGACAACCAGTCCCAAACATACCACCCTATGGACCAAGAGGACCCCAGGCACAAGGTTGTCCACCAAATCTTGTGTTTGTTCCTCCAGTAGTGGTTCAACAGGCACAAAATATGGTCCCTAGGGACCAAATTATTGATATTGTTAGAGAGATGTGTGGACCAATGGCTCGGGGGGTTCAGACTCTTGTGTACAGGAAACCATACCCAGAATGGGTAAATAGGGTACATGAATACCTAAGAGGTTTCAGGATACCAGACTTTACCCTTTTTTATAGGAATGGAAACCAGTCAACGGTTGAGCATATTGCTAGGTTTGCGACTCAGTGTGGTGAATTTACCAATAATGACTACATAAATTTAATATTGTTCCCAAATTCACTAACTGGGGCAGCCTTTGTATAGTATATTAACCTTACGCCTGGCTCTATCCAAACTTGACAACAAATAGAGGAGGCATTTCATGCCCAATTCTTCCAAACAGAGCCAGAAGTGTCTATGGCAGACTTGGCAAGATTGAGTCAAAGGCCTGATGAGAAGCAATGATTTTTTTTGTATTGAAAGCTAGGATTTTTCGGTTCTTAGAGATCTAATTCATTGAAATTCCATCCAATAAATTGGGTAGGTCGCTAGTATAGTTCCCTATCCACGATTATGCTATTTATATTTACTGGAATAATATAGGAGGAATCCAAGTCCACGGCCAAGTACTTATTACTTCTTGGGCTGTAATTGCTATTTTATTAGGTTCAGCCACTATAGCTGTTCGGAACCCACAAACTGTTCCGACTGGCGGTCAGAATTTCTTCGAATATGTTTACTCAGTTTATTGTCAGATTCAAAAGAGTACGAAACAAATGTAGAATCATCTTGCCAGAGCCTGAATTTATGAGGTTGGCTCAAAATGGTCTAGAGTTTAGGCTTCGAAAGAAGTTTGACTCAACTGAGTTTAGAGATTTAGTGGAACCAACCTATAAGGTGTCTAGGTATGAAGCATTACTAGAGGAAGAGCAAGATCGAAGTAATGCATCATACAAGACGTATTACAGAGATCCTAATTATGAGATTGATGCGGCAGAGATTGTGGGAAAAGAACCTGTGATCTGTGAAGCATTAATTCATAAAGACACAACAATAGACCAGAAGTTTAAAAAGAAAGACCTTCATAGAAAATACTCTTTTGATTTGACAAAGGCAGATGACATTTTTGATCATTTGCTTGTTGCGAACTTCCTGAAGTTACCAAAAGAAGTCAAAATTCCGTCTCCAGAGGAACTTAAAGGAAAAGTTTATTGTAAATGACATAATTCTTAGTCTTACTCAACTAACAACTGCATTGTTTTTCGAGACAAAATCCAAGAGCAGATTCGAAAAGGAAGTTTGAAATTCTCAGCTAAAGCAGAAAAGGCCATGGGGATTGACACTAATCCATTTCTAGAAATTGGAGAAGTGGCAGCCAATGTTATTGTGCTAGACTTCCAGAACTTGTCTATGAAAGAATTGGAAGAGGTCAATGTGCAAATGCATGTTGCCAGCTAAACTATTGTCTAGAAAGATGCTAAAAGTCTGTCAGCTAGTGGACAAGGTTTTCCAGACCA